AACATGGTACCGTTTGATGGTACATACAATGGTACTGAAACATGGTACCGTTTGATGGTACATACAATGGTACTGAAACATGGTACCGTTTGATGGTACATACAATGGTACTGAAACATGGTACCGTTTGATGGTATATACAATGGTACTGAAACATGGTACCGTTTGATGGTACATGAATAGGTTCTCGGTAGTACCGACAGAATTCGGTCTGTACTTTAAAAAGTATTGAATTCAGTACCCATCCCTAGTGACATACAAATCATCTTTGGTAACATCCTTTTTTCATTTTAATAAAAGTCCTTTATCGTTCAGCACTTCATGTGCCAAATAATTCTACAAATATTCCTTATAAGAGACATTTTACTGTACGTTTCATCCAAAAGTCTGAAAAGATATTTCTGTTAATACAACTGACAGTTAATAATTTTAAGAGCAGCTCGTTCAGTGGCAGTTTTGCGATGATATAATTTTAGCACAGCATTGTCAAATGCGTGCCACAACCTAAAGGAGACAAGATTCTCCGCAAAATCTTTGACCCACAACGGCTCATTTTTGTAGCGTAGTGTTAGCATTACTAGAGGTGTAATGTTGCTCAGCTACGGTGGCCCATCAAGTCCAAAAAAGTGTTTGTTTCCTGTAGTTGGTTCGGTTCAAGGCCTGTCTGTATTCACACCAGAAGGGGACCGAGACCACCTAAAAAATGGGTTTCAGTCGGGTTATTTGATCCACACCAGTTTACTTGAGTGTATTCACACCTGTACAAGGTCCAGACCAACAGAGGAAATGAACCCGGGTCAGTTTAAAGTGGACCAAATGTGTCAGGTGTGACTCCACCCTGTAATTAATATAACTTCAGTTATTTAATGTCATGTTTCTGGAGAACTGAGCTCTGTTTGATGTTTCAGGTCCAGATGACCGAAAACCTACAGAGTTTCTGATTGTTGATGGACAGAAATATGCTGTTGTTGGGTAGGTATCCCTCCCTGGTGCGCAATGTGTGCTGTTACTGAAAGACTCAATGATGGGGACAGGGATAAAGCTTCATTTATATGAACTGTACACCAAGTTCATTTGTACGAAAATAGAGTAAGAGAAAAAATATTTGTTTATAAAGTATTTTCAAAGTCCTTTTTTTTTCCAGGACAGTTTTACTGCTGATTCGGATGTTTCTAGAATACTGTCAGTGTGTGAACGACATCCCATCCATCGCCACCGACATGCTGACACGTCTGTCAGACCTCCTTAAAGTAAGACCCCCACACTTCCCCCCATAGAATGCTATCAGCTCATGTCACATATCAGTTACACACAAACTCCCAAAGGTATCTCTGAACCACAGTACATGTTTATTATGTTTTTGACCATATTTACAGCGTGTACATTTCTTGCATTAATAAAACTAACACTGGATTTTTAAACTTTTCTGATGTTATATGACTACAGTTAGTGAGGACAGAAAGTCCTGATTCAAACATCATTTACAACATTTGTCTTGTACAGGTCAGTGAATAATTAGTTTTATTGTTGTTGTTGTTGCAGTACTTCAACTCTCGCAGCTGCCAGTTGGTTCTGGGAGCCGGAGCTCTGCAGGTTGTTGGCCTTAAGACCATCACTACAAAAAACCTGGGTATCTGCAACAAAACTTTATTTTGTTACTTAGCCCGACCTGTGTGACTCGTTAAAAACAAACTGGAACACTGACTTTTTGGATGTCTTCCTGCAGCATTAGCGTCCCGCTGTCTTCAGCTGGTGGTTCACTACATTCCCATCATCAGAACTCACTTTGAGACCAAACTGCAGCCCAAACAGTTCAGTGTTCTCAGACACTTTGACCACATCACCAAGGTAACAAAGACAACTCATATATACTGGAGGAAACATGCTTGAAACCCCTAAAGGCTTGTGATTTGTTGGAGGTTTAGTAACTCAGGCTGTTTGCTGTTTTTCAGGACTACAATGATCACATCGCAGAGATCTCTGCCAAGCTGGTGGCCATCATGGACAATCTGTTTGAGAAGGTTTTATCAAAGGTGAATAGCTTTAAGAATGGTCACATCTTCAGGATGGCTGACTCTAACCCTAACCCTAACCTGACCTTGATGTTTTCTTTCCAGTATGAAGTGAAGGCTCCAATGCCTTCAGCCTGCTTCAGAAATGTCTGCAAGCAGATAGCAAAGATGCATGAAGCTATTTTTGATCTTCTGCCTGAAGAACAGACACATGTGAGATTCTGAGCTCAGACTTTATTCATCCTTAACATCTAGAGTCTCTGCATGGTCTCTAAATAAGGCCTCAGTTGTGCTGTAATAATGTTTGTCTGCACAGATGCTGTTTCTGAGGATTAACGCCAGCTTTAAGATGCACCTGAAAAGACAGCTGGCACGACTTGGTGTCATTAATGATGGAGGACCACAACATGGGTAAAACAACCCACCGTACATCAACACTTAGGGCTGTCACATTATAAACTCACTGTTTGATCAAAGACTGACAGGATAGCTTTCTCAGCAGGAAATATGATGGAGGTATTTAAGGAGGACCCATCATGGGGGACTTGGAACAAGTTAGGATGCATCTGTGGGCTATACAAAACATGTTCGTTTTGTTATATTTAATTCACAAAATTAATCTCAGTGAGATTTCACATTTTCAGTTCTGCATGTTCTGAGCTCTACTGAGACCCTAAAGGGACATGGAATGGGAAAAAAACCATCTCGTGCGCACCATTTAGTCAGGGCTCTAGACTAACTTTTTGCACTGGTTGCACCGGTGCCACTAACATTTTTTCTTAGGTGCACCCATATTTTCAACCACGTCACATTTAACATCAGTTTTACAGGTTATTTTTTTAATCACTGTTCATTAAGGCAACATTAACTTGAAAATAATTAGTTAACAATCTAGTAAACATGAAGCTCTTTATTTGAACCAGAATTGTTGACATTTAACTTACTGAAAAGTATTTAAAGTGATAAAATTCTAAGTGCAAATGTTTAAGAGCTTATAAACACCTTAAACATTTCATGGTTAAATTTTTTTTTAGACACAAGCCCCTCAGATGGACAACTATGGATCTTTGGCCTTGGATAAACCAGAATGATGAACAGAGAATA